GGAAGGCCTGGGTCCTGCTGCAGGGGAGCCCGGAAGGCCGCCGGCTCTGCCGCCGGCCTGGGGTGAGCTTGCAGCCCGGAGCTCGGGAGGCCTGAGGCGGGAGTGGGGGGAGAAGCCGAGGGGGCTGCCGTCTCCGTCCTGCCAGGGTGGGCTTCGTGGAGCCGCCTCAGCAGCAGCGTGGGAGGGGGTTCCTCCTGCCTTGGAGCTTCCTGGTGGTCTCCTCTCCCAGAACTAAGCAGCCTGACAGGTGAGCTTTCCGGGGATCAGCCGGGGCCCGCCCCCTTCCGGGCTGGGTTTCAGGGATGGGCAGGCCGATTCCGGGCGAGTACTGGGGCATGGGGGGGATAAAGTTTGTGCGCCAGTTGGGCCCTTTGCTAGGCCGGGGGACGGTCGCGCCTTGACCGCCTCCCAGTCGGACTGTTGCAGCGCGCTCTGTGCTTGTCGCCTCCGGAGCCGACTGACGGCGGCCAGGTCGCTGGCGGGAGCGCCTGTCCCCGGCGGTCCCTGCCCGTCCCGCTAGATCTGGCCGGGTGGCGTGCCTGGTGCCCTCGGCGTGGCCGTGTCCCTAGTGGGGCCTGGGGAGCGTGCCTTGTGGAGCAGCCCCCCCAGAGATAGGGATGGCCCGGACCCTGTTTTCCCCCGGGCACTGGGGCCAGGCGGAGGGAATGTTGTTTATGCCTTTAAATGGTCCTTTAAGTGCTCTCTGTTTTTATTCTGTTCGCTGCCCAGAGCTCCTTCTGGTAGATGGGTGGCTGTATAAATTTGTTTAGTAAAAAAAAAAAAAAAAAGAGGGAAGCCATATTTGAATGGATTGGGTCCAAGGCCCACCCAGCCTAGTATCCTGTTTCCAGCAGTGGGCAGTGTTAAGACAAAAGAACATCTTCTCTGTTTGCACTTCAGGAAGTTATGCAGGACTCATTTCCTGGCATGCCATTCATCTGTTGTGCTTTATAAGAACATCTTCGCGGGCACATAAGGAGAGGTTTGGTAGCCCAGCCTGAGTGTTCATTTAGCCCAGAGTTTCTCAGCCTTGGCAAGTTTAAGATGTGTGGACTTCAGCTCCCAGAAGGCTGAAGCGTGGCTGGCT